AACAGGCCTCACCAGTCACCCCCCCCACCCGGAGAACCCGAGCCGGCCAGATTGATGTGAGGACGGCTCTCATTTGGACCAGGAGAAAAGTGGCCAGTTTAAGGGCTGCTACTGTATTTTAAACGCCAATGGGGGGGTGTTAAAGAGACTGATGAGCCCGGTGGTGATGGCGGCAATGGTGACCCTCCCTCCTGGCTCAGTGCAAAAAAAATAAAAAATAAAAAACCCTACTGGGAAAATGAGAGAGAGAGAGAGAGAGAGGTGGGGGAGGAGGAGGGGAATAAATCTGCGTGGCGGCGGGAATCGATCGTTTCTCCCTCCTCTCTCCCGGCGCTATCTCATCTGCAGGGGCTGAGAGAGGCAGAGCGGTTTAAACGATCCTGACCTTGTCCGACATAAATAGTCAGAAAAGTCCACGGAGCAGATAGCTTTGTGTAAGGCTGGTGGGGGAGGAGGTGGGGGGGGGAGAAAAGAGGGAGGGGAACGCATTGAGATAAGAGGGGGATGGTGGGAGAAGGGGGGGGGGTGTTGAATGAGATAATGCCCTGGCGTTACTACATCAGAGTCGGTGTCGCTCACACGCACAGACGTCGCCGTGGGAAACAGCCTCGGCCTCGCTTCCTGTCATCCCTCCTTCATCCCTATCTCTCCCTCTTTTCCTCCCTCTGTCTGATCAGGAAGAGACTGGAGTTGAGTGTGAAGAAGAAGAAGAAGAGGAAGAGGAAGAAGAAGAAGGGGGGAGGAGTGGAAAGTCTCCCTCCTTTCAGAGCTCTCATCCTTCTCTCTGTGATTACCTGAGAGAGCGATGGAGGGACGGAGGAAGTCAATTGGCTCCCGCGAACACTCCTGAAGAAGATGTGAGTGTTTTAAAGTAAGAAAGGAGCTCCTTTGTGCGGCGCCCCCTCTTCTTTTCTTTTGAGTGTAATGCTGCTGTACCTGACAGTGGCGCTGCCCCGGGTAAAGGCAGAAATCTCTGCCTCCATTGTCACCTGTTCCTCTAATCATTTTCCGCCCGTCATGCCACAATGGAGGAGGGCGATAACGATAACGAGGTGAAGCTAATACAGAGCGGCGGCGAGGCCCCCTGAACACAATGTTCAGATGTCTTCACTCTCTCACTCTCTCACACACACACACACACACACACACACACCTTTATACACTCCTTAATGCAGAAACACTCACTTGCAGACACACACACACACACGCACACACACACACAATTAGTCTTTTTTCTTCAGTCACTCATGTGCAGATGTTTGAGCCTTTTCATTATGGCGCCAACTGTCGAACCACCCTCACATTAACACCGTTACACACTTCCATCATAAAACATCATCACAACAAAAGAGGACGAGGCTCGTGTTATTGCTCTGCTTTGTTGGAACGAGTCTAGTTAGCGGCTGCTGGTGTGAATCCTGGCGTATTATCTGCATGGTTTGACGCTCTGGCTTGGGTCTCATTATCCAAGTTTTTACCCATCATTCCTGTGGGTTATGGTACACTTGCACTCGTCGAGTTAAACACGCAGAACGCGGCGAAACGAAAATCACCTCCCCGTGGGCGTCTGCCTCCGCCACTAGTTTCAGGTTACATCCCTGTTTATCCAGATGATAATGCTTTTCTGAGGTCGCACTGACCTTTGACCTTTGAACACCAAAGTCTAGTCAGTTCATCCTGGAGTCCAAGTGAATGTTTGTGCCAAATTTGAAGGGATTCCAATGAGGAATTCTGGAGATATTTTGCGTTCCCCAAGGCCAAAATCATGTTTTGCGAGGTCACCATGACTTTGACCTTTGAACTTTGACCTTTAGCCACCAAAATCAGTTTCTCCTTAAGTCCTGATGAAAATTTTTACCAAATTTTAAAGAAATTCCCTCTCGGCGTTGCGGAGATGTCTCATTCACGAGGCCGAAACTGTCTTTTGTGAGGTCACCACGCCCTTTGACCTTTGACCCCCCCAAAATCAAATTTTTTTTTTTTGGTGCCAAATGTGAAGAGGTTCCATCAAGGTGTCACTGAGATATCGTATCCACGAGAATGGGACAGACGGACAAAACCCGCAAACAAAAAAGTGCAACGGGTAAAGAAACGATCAGGAAACTCACTTTTGACCCGCTGTGCTTGCCGTAGTTATACAGTTTTTTCCCCCGTGCTGTTTCTCCACGCTTTGGCTCAACTGTGGTCCAAACCTGTCCGGTTGCGTGACCGCTCATGTTTTCCCGCTCTACTGGACTGAGCTGCAACGTCACCCTGGTGTCAGATCTCAGCAACCACCGAGGGAGGAGGAGGAGGAGGAGGAGGAGTTCCCCCTCAGCCTGCGCAGGGAGCATCGCAACTGAAATAACAGAAGTCAAATGTTGGTATAACATTCACATTAAGATACAAGCTGTAAAACAACAGAAGAGTTCTTTAAGTAAGAAATAAGAATTTATTTCCCCAGAAAAGGCAACAAAAAGAGCTGGGAAACAAAAGATCCACGGAGGCCTGACGCCATCACCATGTTATCATCTGTGTGTTATTATCATCAGTATGTGACGACACCTCTACCTGGACACCTGAGCTGTGAGGATCAAAGACGTGACTAGTTGACGAGTTATAATTATATTAACGTATTTCATTTGGTCAGTGTTGAGGATTTTAATATTGTTGAGCTGCTGTTTCAAAAATCTTCAAGCCCGACTCTTAATAAAGTGTTTTAAATCTTTTGAATGGTGACCACCTGGTGAAGACCTGGACCGTGACTCCTGACTTGGACTTGAACACAGCTCTCGTTCCTTGTGCCTGTTGTATCACTGCGTTAAATTTACTGTTTGCTTTCCAAGCATCGAGACGGAGAAGAAGAAAAATCGATGCTGAGACAACTTTCTGGACTTTCTCCCGTCCTGCCACAGAGGAGAAGAAACCAGTGTCAGATAAGTCTTTTACTTCCTGGTTCCTATTTCTTCTTCTTTCTTCTTTCCTCTGCTGTCAGCTTCCACAATCTGTCCGTCAGTCAAACCCTTGAGAAGTCCCAAATTTTCCTCCTCACCCACATCTGTGAGATGTTGCGTCACCGGGGCCTTTGCCAGCGAAGGTGGGTGGGTGGGTGCGGTGGGTGGGGGTGGGAGGGGGGTGATGAGAAGGCTGCTGCTCCCTGACTGTGTTTATCAGAGTCTGGCATCGCTGTAATTTCAGTGTTCAGATGCAATCGCTCCCCACTCCCCTCAGGAGTAAACAATAACAAGCACAAATACAATAGACAAACAAGGCCTGCAGGACATGTATGCACACACACACACACACACACACACACACACGCAGGCATGCACTTACAGGAAGGACGACATTTCGGGTACAGAAATGATATTGAATGCAAACCACAAACACCCACTGTCTAATTCTCCGTCACCGTTGGCATTCAATGTTGCCAGATCATCACAACCTCCAGAAACCGCAGGACCTATATAAAAAAAAAAAAAAAGGCTGAACTCAGATCAGATATTGGATCTGAATATAGAGGATCAATTGAGCAGAAATAAATCGCCTATCGTGCAGTAAATGAAGTGTGAAGATGTGTCATTCTGCTCCGACAAACTCTTCACTCCTTTGGGGTTTTCACTCTCATGCAGGTCGCTGCCGGAAGACTGAGGCGGCGCCGCATTTCTTATCAGACAGCACCGCCTGGTGGACACTTTGGGAACTGCAGGAGGAAGAGGCGCAGAAGATGAGGTAGTGTCAAATGGAGTTACAGCAACGGAAAAACAATTGGTTCTCTGGTTGTACGGACCTGCTCGAGCTCAGCTGTGTCAGTGTGCAACAAAAAAAGAAAGGAGCTCTGAGATTAAACTCAACTTTAAATCAGAAGTCGGAGTCAATTTGAGAAAAATAGATAAATAAACTCAAGTTTTGTCGGTAGATTTCTGACTTTAAATCAGTTTTCTGGTGTCAGTTTCAGAAGTAGATGATGATTAACAGTGTGTGTACTGAATATAAAAGTTTCCTTCCTTCAGGTCATAATTCAGAGTCGAAGCATCAATAACAACCGATGTAGCTCTTGTATTAAGTCGAGATACAACCCAGGGGTTTGATTATTGTAATATCTTGAACAATTACAGATGCACTGCTCTGACCTTTTCTCTCTCAATACTGACACCAACGCTTTTACCCAAATGTAAAATCTGCATATCTGCATATCTCGCTGCATTGCATTCACAGGAAGAGTTTTTAATGTGAAGTGACACGAGGCCAGGGAAGGAAGAAGTCATCTGAGCCACGATTTAAATTATTACCAGTAAAAGTCAAAACCTTACTTCAGTAAAAATACGTAATATAAACAAAACGTGGCGAAAATACAAAAGCATTTGTTCAAAATAGACTCTTATAGTCCTAAAATTTTATTTGTACTATTTAATTATCATTGATTTACATGTAAGCAGCGTTTTAACTTTTTAAAAATATACTCAGTGGCTTTATTTATCGTTTATTGATGGCCTTTATTTGATAGGCTCATTGTTTTTGCAAAGTGTTAGGGTTCAATGTAGCAGGGGAAAAAAAATAATACAATAAAAGATAAAGTCTGATTGAATGAATGTGATGACGGCTCAGACACAGACATTGTATTTGATGTGGTTCACTCACATCAGGGCCGATAACCTCCTTCATGTCGGCGTGTCCCTAATAATCACACTATAACACCAGTGTAGAGCCCAGAGGTGGCATTTATTTATTGAAGGAATTATTGTGATGGTTTGGATTACATAACGTGTTTCAGCTATTTTGTCCATCCTCTGTTTAATAACACAACTGAGGAATAATTAGATTTACAATCCACATGAATAATTCACCGTCGACCAACTCTTAAGCGTCTGAGACTAAATTCCTTTCTAAAAGAAAATTCAAAAACACAAACTGATGATTTAAAAGTAGCGACACCTTCAGAAGAGAAGAGCATCAACATTCATTTTTCTCAGTCGTCAGGTTTTATTGTGAGGAATGAGATACAGGGACTGAGGAAAGGATGAAGGTTCTGTGTAAGAGGTTTATTTTCTCCATATATTTTACAAATAGAAGCACAAATGTTCATTTAGACTCTCGACAACACTTGTCCGAAGTACTTTTTTGAAGAGCTATAGGCAATGGAAACGATGACCTGGCCCGTTTATCTGCAAAGAAAAAGAAGAAGAAGAAAGGTGAGAACGGTGAACACAAAAGAGCAAGTCAGACCTGACAACAGTGTTTAACAAGCTGAAACCTAAAGGACATCTAGTCTATTATATCAAGGGCTTCATGGCGCACACTCCTCTCACTTCTACAGCTAAAGCAGCCCACAGGGATCCTGACATTACAGTCTAGTCTACAGTGTTACCTCCTCTGTTAAGACAAGCCTCAGTTCCTGAGTTCAGCCGAGGGTGAGGAGGAGCAGATTAGGTCAGAGAGGAGAATTAGTCACGAAAGAATGTGACGGCTTTTGGAAATTTAAAAAAAAAAAAAAAGACATGCATGGTTGAGAGGTAAAAGAGAGAGAGAGAGAGAGAGAGAGAGAGAGAGTAAAGAAGAGAGGTCATAGAGGTCAGAAAGTGATGGAGGAACATAATGAAAGAGTGAGTCAGAGAGAAATCTGCAAATGAATAGAGGAAGATAGAAAAGTGGGGGAATAAAAAGAGAGAAAAGAAAGAAAAAGGAAACACTGTAGATGTGGTGGAAAAAGAAAAAGAAGACTTACAGAGCAGCAGCTCCGGAGATGATCTCAATGAGCTCCTTGGTGATGACGGCCTGTCTGGTACGGTTGAAGGTGAGGGTCAGCTTGTCAATCATCTCGGCTGAAAAGGAAAAGGACAGAAACCCGTCAATCAATGTCAAACACCACTTTGTGACGGAAGAGGAAAAGTGATGTTCGAGCATCGCGAATACGTTTCAAAGTAAAATCATAACGATGTGAAAAGTGGCGGCCTAGATATGAGATTAAGTAAAAAATCTAAAAACGGGTAAACTCTTCTGTTTTCCAATGTATTAACTTTTTTCTAAATGATGCAAATGATTCAACAACAGCAATTAGTCGAGTGACAGAAAATAAAATAACCAGCATATATGTATAATTGATTAATTACTAAACCCAGATCTCATATATTCACTGATTTAACTTGTCAAATGTGGGTTTTGCTGCTTCTCTCTGATTTATAATCTTTGTAAATTGAAAGTATTTTGGTTTTTGATTAAAAAAAGTCGACGGTTGCAGCTCTAATTACGCCTCACGCCTATGGGAAGCGCTCGGCTGCAGCTAACAATTATCCTCATTATTGCTTAATCAATTCATCACTATGTAAAAATGTACATCCAAGCTCCACGGCCCCCGATGTGGCGTCTCCATCTTTTGCTCGTTTTGTCTGACGAACACGTGCAAAAACAAAATTCATTTTTACAAATCACATAAAACTGCGAAAAGCAGAAACTCTCACATGTGAAGATAAAACCAGAGAATGTAAATAAATAAATAACTCAAAACAATAAATCCAGCCAAAAATGGTTGGAAATTAATTTTCTGTCAGTCAACTAATCCTTTGAGCATCGATTAAAATAAAAATCGGTAAAAGTTTTGAGAAGAGATTTAGTTTCTACCTGCCTCATAAGAAACTAAATACTGTTTCTAAGGTGTTGCAGAAACACTGTAATGTCACTGAAGTCGTCATATAAAAGAGACACTACACATCAGCACATCCTTTCATAACATATCGTATATTATCAGCTGATTTCTGAAAGTTTGGAATGTGACACGTGTTCGCCAGGAAGTCCCGAAGTCTTACAAGCGTTCTTGCTGGCGCTGTCCATGGCAGTCATCCTGGCGCTCTGCTCACTGGTGGAGGACTCCCTCAGGGCCAGGTAGATGATGTTGACCATAGCAAACTCCTGGTAGTTCCTCAGCACGTCGGCATCGATGTCATCATAGACGCCCATGCTCTCTGTTGAGAGGACACAAGTGTTCAGGATCTGTCTAACTGGGACAAACGAGGCTGAATGTCTCTGAACAAAAGCAGCACGTCCTACCTGAGTTAGCAACGATGTCTGTGGAGAACACAGGCTTGTTGTCCGTCTTGTATGAGATAACAGACCTGTATCAGAGAAAGGGGGGGGGAGACTTTGTGATCAGGACAATACAGTATTTTACAGATAATTTAAACAGACAAGTGAATCTCTCAGTTTATGCAAGAAAGCCTCGTACCTGAATCTGTTGAAGATGATGGAGCCCTGGTCGAACTCGTATCCAGAGTTGAGCAGCTCGGTGGCGATGATGGAGGCGTCACCAAAGCTGGGGGGCTTGCGGCCGACTTCCTTGCAGTTGAGCATGATGTGCTTTCCATGAGTTCTGACGAGAGACGGTGAGTATCGTCACTCTGCACACTTTCATTCTTTAACACATTTTAAATCTTAACGTCTCATGACAGAGAAACCTCAACACTGTTTCACCCTGCAGAGAATAACAGGTGAAAACTTGTAATATTAGGAGAAATTTTGGCATTAAGAATAATTTCAGCGCTGTGTATTGATCCACTAGCACACTGAGCTTCACCGTCAGACTTCATGCTACCAGAGCCAACAAAAGGAATCACAGTAATCAGATCTTTACTGCTGCAGAAACTTCAGCATTATAAAATTGTTAAAATGTCAATGAGGCTTTTGCAACATTGAGAACTGTGAATTTCAGCCTTGAATAAACTAAGACTGGGCCTGACTCATGGCCTTCAATGTTGTAACAGAGCGGATTAGTACCTGTGCAGCAGGCCTCTCAGCTTGTCTCCCACATTGATCACCATCACCTCCTTGCCAGCACCAGTCAGGTTGGCGATCTCGCTCTTAATGGCCTTAGCCACACCGGAGTGGATGGCACCACAGAGACCACGGTCAGAGGTCACACCAACGATCAAATGCTTGGCGGCCTTGTCCTCGGGAGCTTTGATTTCAGCCTTCTCGTACAGAGCTGGAGGGCAGAGAGAAAATGGAGGGAATCTTAGTTGAAGAAACGATCGAGAGTAAAATCCAATTTATCAAGTGAGAGGTAACATGGAGGCGAGATGTTACATACCCAGAGCACCGGTGCCATAGACACGGGCTGGCTTCAGCTGCCTCTCAGCACGAGCGTACTTGGCAGCGGCCACCATTTTCATGGACTTTGTGATTTTCTGGATGTTCTTGATGGACTTCAACCGAATGGTGACTAAAGAAAAAAGAGGATTATCACTCAGAATATTAGAGGAGGGGCAAAATGACAACAAAATATTACAGTGAGACAATATAAAATGGTCAGCTGTTTTCAGATTTTGCTGCATGTTTACACCACAGTCTCTATTATGTGTAATATCTTTGGTCATATTAGAACTTGGCAGGTAATAATGCAAATCAACAGGCAGGACTGCCATCTCACAGAACCCCATTCACATATCTGGCAACCAGATTATTGTTTATATTATTGGCAATGATGCACACTTACAATAATAATAATAATATAAAAGCCTTTTACAAGTCACTAGGATGAGCTCTACTAATTTGGCATCACTTATTTCAATATATTTTACTCTAAATTATTTGTCCTCTAGATGACTGCTTATTCACCCCCCTCAATAGACAGTGATATGACCTGGTTAAGTTTTTCAAATGTGTGCTGCAGGGAAAGAAGTTTGCAGCTCAAGATTGTGTTTTAAGCAACTGCAAACCGGTGGGTCGATATATAAAGACATATGTACTTATTGAATTATTCAGATGTTGCCCTCAGCTGGCATTATATGCTGTCACTGGATGTTGAAATTTTGAATCTGTGGTGTAATCAGTGTCAGATTACAGCCTGCATTATGTTGTTGTGCTGTTGTCTTTTATTACAAAGTGTGCAATTAGTTTACAAATGTACTTACTGTCCTTCAAGGTAGCCATGTTCCTGACCTGCCCACTGTGAACAGAAATAGTCCATTTGAGTTTTAGCTGCAAGCATTGTCAACATGTAAAAGCGTTATTAACATGTTATCAGCTTACTATTAAAAGTAGCTTCGAGTTAATGTCATGTTATCATAGGCTAACCTCTTCTGTCATTGGCTATAAAATGAGGAATACAGGTTAGCGCTGCAAGTGAGTTAGCATCAGCTAGCTCTGCACAGAGGAGGCTTTGACAGTTAGCCCTAGCTAAGACTATCACTGTGACCGATGCGTTATACCGACTTCCGTTCATATATGTTATAAATGTATTAGCTCAGAGTTATTCATTGGTGAAATGTTAACTCTCCTCTCTCGACACTCGCACAATGTCAGTTCAGTTAGCTTTAGCTTCTGGCCGGTTGAACTTGTCCATTCATTAGCCGCGGCCTCCACGTTAGCACGTCCTTGCACTCAATAACTCGCGTGCTTTACAGACTAGACGTTACACGTCCATTACAGTCACACATGTCCACAGAGTTCAAACAAAGACGATAAAGTTAAAGACTGTTGAGGAGCAATATATATATTTGTGACTTTACCATTGTGGGGAGAACACCAACGCGCTGGTCCTGGCGAACATGGTTACTCCTATGAAGGTCAGACACGCAGGACTGCGCAGGCGCAAGTTAAGGGCAAAATGGACGAATGCTGCCTTCATGTACCAGCAGAAATATCGTTATAAAGATGATCACACACATGACTGAAACGGACTGAACCCACAATGTTTACCCAAAAAAAGTGAAGAGCCTTTTTAGTAGATTTATTATTTCTTGTAAAAACATGTAACGTTTGTTACTGGTATAAAAGGCAAATAAAACACATTTTCATCTCTGACTTTTGTCTAACTTTCGTAAGTATTTTATTGTACTCTAAACATTTAGTTCACTAATTACTTTGATATAAACTATTCTCCCTAAACTTTTGCGCGGTAAATCTAATGTATATTGTAGAAATTGATAATACATTCTTGTGGGGGAGCATCTCAGATATTCACATTTGTTTTAATAAATCACACAGGCAAGCACCTATTTCTCAAAGACAATTACAGCTAAACATTAGGAAACAAATTGTAGGTTGTAAAAATTCTTGTGCCAAGTGAAGTTTGTTCCTGGTATTTCATAAAACATCTCAGGAACGTAATAAATCACAACGACGTGTTTGGTAAAATCCGAAGCTTACGTAGAGCCATTGAACGCAGCAAACGTTATCGCGAGATTTTAACCTCACTCGCGGAAATTGTTTATGTCGGTAGCGGTTGAACGTGGGTTTTAGCGGCGATTCGAGCAACATTTCTACCGATTTACTTTGAATTTTAACGTTATATCGAGTGTTTTACGTTTGTCGTAGCTGGTCGCGATGGGGAAAGCAGATTTTCTCTCTCCCAAGGCGATAAGCAACCGGATAAAATCCAAGGGTCTCCAGAAGTTGCGGTGGTATTGTCAGATGTGTCAGAAACAATGTCGAGATGAGGTAAGATTTTCAGTATTAAATGTGTTATGTTGTTGTTTTTTTGCTGTTGTTTATGTGTTAAACTTAAACTTAATTTGTGTGTTTGCCGACAGAATGGCTTCAAATGCCACTGCATGTCTGAGTCCCACCAGAGGCAGCTGCTGCTGGCCTCAGAGGACCCCACAAAGTTCATGGACTACTTCTCAGAGTGAGTCTGAACCTTAGCTTAAATAGACAACACGTTAACGGTGGTCTAAAGGTGGTTGATTTAATCGTTTTCCTCATTTTGTACCAGTGAGTTCAAGAGCGACTTCGTGGAGCTGCTCAGAAGACGCTTTGGTGAGTTCAGGTTCATCCAGATGCTTGTGTCTATAAACGCAACTGAGATAGTGTGTACATTTACTCCCTCTTGATCTGCAGGGACCAAGAGAGTGCATAACAACATTGTCTACAACGAGTACATCAGTGACCGGGAGCACGTACACATGAACTCCACACAGTGGGAGACTCTCACTGACTTCACCAAGTGGCTGGGCAGAGAAGGTGAGCGGATGTAACTTACACATGCTTTAAAAGAATAAAAAAATGATGCATGTTGCTTACCCTGTAGAAAAGTCAGACCAAACATGTGTAGAAGAGTCAGTACAGTAGATTATATGTTGTGTATTTACTAATCTGTTAAGTGTTGTTCCTACAGGCCTGTGTAAAGTTGACGAGACCCCTAAAGGCTGGTACGTCCAGTACATTGATCGCGACCCGGAGACCATCCGCCGCCAAGAGGAGCAGGCGAGGAAGAAGAAGCAGGAGCTGGACGATGAAGAGAGGAGCGCCAGGTTCATCGAGGAGCAGGTCCGCAGAGGCCGGGACAGCAAGGAGACAGACGTGAGTGCACCAGCGTCACAGACCTCAGCTGAGATCTGTACAGACTTTGATTTTTCAAAATTTAAAATAATAGTTTGTGGTGTATTTTATTTTGTAGGAAACTCCAGTTTATACAGAGCTGAAACGTGAGAATGAAGAAGAGAAAGGTTTGGATTTTTTACTTGTTTATCTCCGGATGTTTGTTCTATTTGTCTCCCTCAAAGTCATAAAGTATATAAAAATGTTTTTCTCTTGCAGTTGCTTTCAACATGGGCGCCTCTTCATCTGTAGCCGGTCCTTCCAAATCAAGGTACAGGAGCTTCTGTGCAGGGTGTTAATTCTTCTCCACAATTATCAAGTGGGTATAATAGGATTAGTTTGTCTGAAACCTGTTTGTGTGTCTGTGCAGCTCTGTCCTTGGTGCCAGTGCTCTCAAAACAGCAGCAGCATCCTCGACCAAGAGGAAAGACACGTCCTCCGGTTCAGACTCCAGAGCGGAGAAGAAGAAGAAATCTGCTCTGGAGGAGATCATAGAGGTAGAGCGGATGATTCTGTTTTGTCTTCTTTACGTATTTATATGTGTTTTATATGTTTTAGTGATTGTATGTGTGATGTTTTTTCTCGTCAGATGGAGGAGAAGAAGAAGAAGAAGCAGCAGTCGGTCAGGACGGATTACTGGCTGCAGCCCAACATCGTGGTCAAAGTCGTCACCAAGAGACTGGGAGAGAAGTACCACAAGAAGAAGGCTGTCGTCACGGTAACGATGCTCTGTATGCGTTCATATGAAGCGTGTGGAGCGGGAAGAGGAGCTGCGAAGTTGTTAACAGTTGTGAATCCTTTTTGCCGCAGGAGGTGCGAGAAAATTACACAGCGGTGGTGAGGATGATCGACTCCGGAGACAAACTGAAGCTGGACCAGAACCACGTGGAGACCGTCATACCTGCACCAGGTAAACCACAGGTTGTTTAGTGAAATCAACACGTGCCTCAGCTGTTGTGTTTTTTTCTCTACCGTCCTCAGCATCTTCTTGCTCTCAAATTTCCTGCAGGTAAAAAGGTTTTGATCGTGAACGGTCCGTACAGAGACACCGAGGCTCTGCTGGAGGGGATCGATGAAAAACATTTCTGCGCCACACTCACCCTCGACTCCGTAAGTGTTTGAAGGCTTCAGGCTGTTCTCACATCAGTAGTAAATGTATGTGATTTTCTGACCCAAAAATAGAACATGGACTAACGTATTTGATAACATTCACTACTCATCATCCTGTAATGCACCAACAGAATCTGAAAATCTGTTTCATTCAATCTGAAAAATGTATATAATATGAGACTTGACAAGTTGTTGTAAAGATCACCATTAGTTTTATTGTTTTCCATTTGCTGCATTCACTTTCATGTTGAATTTTTTTTGTATTTGTCAAGCCCAGTTTCTGAGTTGCAGCTGCAGCAGTTATTAAAGTTTCGTGTCTTCTCATCCTCAGGGTCAACACAAAGGAAAGAGGGTGGACGTCGCCTACGAGGATTTCTCTAAACTGGCCTGAACCAGCAGCCCCTCCAGCTCTAACCTCAGGCAGCCGTTTTTGGCTGAGGGACTCTACTGTGTCAGAGTTACTTTCCCCATGATTCACATGTACATATACATATCCCACAATGCATTTCCAGTGAAGCGTTACAGAAAAAACATAGAGCAATATGTTCAATTTGTTTTTTTTTTAAATTTTGTATTAATAATCAAGTTGATCTTAACATTGCAGATGTAAATTTTGTCCAAATAAACAAAAGTGACTTCAGGTGGTCTTTGGAACCTATGACCTCAATTTGTAGATCAATATATATATATATATCAATCTATAGAAATCAATATGTTTGTGTCTGTTCAAAGCGTCTGAAGGAAGCTGTTGAGTTCTGGGACGATGTAGTCGGTGTAGTGGCCGTCGATGAAGCCCTTCCCGCTGTTGTGAATGAACCAGCAGTAGACGTTAGAGCCGCGCCTCGTGTCACGCCTGTAGTCCTTCTGCCAGCCCCTGCACACACACACACACACACACACACACACACACACACACACACACACACACACACACACACACACACAGACAGAGATGAGTTCATGGCTGTAATGAGAAATGGGTTGCCTCAGAAGTCGGTTTTAACGTGACTCGCTGTGAGACGTACCTGGTGACTTGCAGCTTGTTGCCCTTCACCTCCATGGTGGCCTCCTTCTTCAGAGGGTCGACTCCTTCGTGGACGTCGTGCACGCTCACCTCAGGCTCTCTAGAAAACTGCCCTGTGAGATCACGCACATTTTTAAGCTCAAACACACCAGTTAGATAAGGTCAAACCTGCATTAAACCCACTTTATCCTGTCATCAGACGCCACTAATTCACCTAATGACACAATTTAAATATTCTGGATTTATCCTATATTCATTTAAACTTGTAACTGAAGCTTTGCTACCCAAACGAGTACAAATATAAGATTTCTCATATGTAAGGTATCTACCAGCACCAGAATTCCCTTCGTTTGTATATTTATATATGATGAATACATTAGGTGTTAGTTTTACATGTTTAACCTTTCACAGAAATAAAAATTACCTTTTAAAAGTAACAAAATTGTAAATGTTTTTGCAGAATAACAGAAAAAAGTAAGATGTTTTTGTGATTTATGCACTTTTTGACCCTTAGTTATGAACTCGATAGTTATTTTTTATGTGTTTTGATCACAGAGCTGAGATATATAAATAGAAGTATGTTTGATTGACAGGTGTCTATTCCACGGTTAAAGATGACATCGCTGAACGAATCTTTGGACGACTTCAGTTTAACACTTAAAGTTCAACTTATTGATTTCCTGTTAAAGTCAATCAGCGTCCGATCACCCTTCAGTTTGGTTTAACGAAGCCTGTGAGGCAGGTGAGTGTTTCGTACCTATGAGCCCGTGCACCAGAGGCGAGTACTGGTTGTTGTTGGGAATGTAGATACCGAGGAAGTCAACGTTTACTGGATGTTTCTTCCACACACGGTGAAGCAACACCATCACCTGGGTATTGTTATTCACTGTGACGGTAACACGAGAGTCCTTAACGATGGAGACCCTCACCCTGAAACACAGAAACGTGTGAGGCAAAGTGAACCAGACGTACAGCCCAGGTAAGTAAAGATGCCGTAATCGAAGAAGGTGTGACTGTTACCTGTCCTGTGTGATTTCAGCCGTGGTCCCCCAGGTGAACGAGTGGTTGTTCCTGCCGTCGGTCATGGCGATGCCGTCGGTGCCGACGGTCACGCTGACTCCGTCAGGCTGGTAGTAGATGGAGATGGTGCCGAAGTAGGTTTTGAGGTTTCCTTTCTGCGTCTTCTTTGAGCCGATTAACTGCCCGTTCACCACCACGCCTTCAGGACAGGAAACGCAAGGTACAGTGTGGAGTGGAAATAAAGTGACCACGGAGGTTAAAGGTGACAGAGTGACACATTATTTCAGCATCTTTTGTCACCTGATAGCTGAGTCTCAACGAGTTGTCCATAGAAAAATAGTTGTTTTTAAAGGACTTATAACTCTCTTGTATCTGTCCGTTAACTATGAAGCTAGAGCCAGGAGATGATTAGCCTAGCTTAGCACAAACACTGTAAACAGGGGGGAAACAGCTAGCTAGCTAACCCCTTCTTTTTTTTTGTGCTGTATGTTCAAAACATCCACACACTTATTTCCTTTGCAAAGACTGAATTTACTGTCCAGCCTTTCTGTCACACGCAGACATGACAAAGGTATATGTGCAATGGAGCTAACTATGCTAATGTAATAACCATGTAGGTTTCCCTCCAAATCCAGCATCATGGAAATTGCATTGAGGCCTGCAAAAGCTGTTCAGTGGTTTTGTTTGTTTACACCAATGATGCAAATAAATCATCAGATGTTTAAGTACTTTAACACAGAGCATGTGCATCTTAAAGGTAAAAGAAAAATCGATTTTTCATAAACTTTTGGTACCTGTTCCGCTGTCGGACACCAGGTTGAGAATATGACCAGGTTTGGAGTCGATGTTGAAGCAGACGTCCATGTTCCTTTCAGGCAGGTGGACGATGAAGTGAGGGTCGTTGTCCACTGGATGAGAAACACTCGTTACACACTGTTCACACTGTTTAACATGATGTCACGATGGGATGAAAGTCACCAGAGTGTGTGTGCATGTGCATGTTACCTAAGTTGACCTGCTGAGGCACGACCCACTCCTCTGGACCCTTCTCGGCCTGACTCGGGGGGGCCGGTGTGGTCATCTGGACCCAGGGTGGAGGCTGGTAGACGACTCGCACCGGAGCCACGCCATTGCCTGCTGAGCCCCCTCCTAACCCTCCTCCTACACACACACATGAGATTATGCTTTTAGATGTTTGTTTATTCCCTCTTTGTGTTTTATACGTGGTTTATTTACTTGTTTTGTGTGTTTTGTGTGTAACATTATGCTCCTTTTGTCAGGCACCTGAGCAGCAGCCGTGCTTGGGGTCCTTCGGGGAGTCGGCCAGCAGCCTCTCCGTGGCGTCCTCGCTCTCCACCAGCAGAGCAGTGAGCGGAGTGACGAACTGATGCTCCACAGCCAGCGACATGATCCGCTGGGTGATCTTCCTCTTCTTGGCGGCTGTTGGCGCCAGAGACCTGCAGGAGAACCACAATGCAACTGTTAAATACTGACAATACCACAAATTCACTGTTTGGTTTAACAGTGATACCTTATTTCACATGTTCTCTGATCGAGGTTTGACTTTTGTGTTTTGCTGTAAGGTAATTTCAGGTGATTTTTTTCATTTTTTTTTGTCCATTTATTTTCATTTCTATCCAATGATGGATCTAGTTTTTTCACTGGACTTTCTGGATTTAGGACCTTCTTGTGTCTCCATACGTTTCTTGTATCACTCCGCATGCTCTCCAGTCACTCACCTTTCGGCGATCAGCTGTTTGATGGTGATATAGGCCCACATCTGTCTGGCGAAGCCCGTGAACGAGTGCTGCTGCTTGGCCAACTCTGCGTCCAGCTCTGTGGTGTCGGTCTCTGTTTCCAGGGTCATGTCCAGACGGGCCTGCGGGACGAGATTGGACAGAGGACACTGGTAGTACTATACCTTGATCCATGACATTGAACCCAAGTATAAAGACGCAAAACATGGTTGTAAGTGTATGCTTGTGTGTCATGCTCACAGCAGATGCGGTGGTGAAGCTGGTCAGCGTGTTGCTCTCAGATGGAAGCACCTTCCCGGCCACCACCAGCTCCGAGCCACTGAAGTATTTATCGAAGCGGTTCTGGGTGACGTCCGACACCGCTTCCTCTGGGAACTGGATGGCGATTCTCCTCAGCAGCGGAGAGGAGACCTGGCTGTAGAACGTCTGCAGAGGGAGAGGAGTGGAAACTGAGGTGATGACTTCAAATTTTGTTCATTAAACTCCTTGGAAGTCTAAACCTAAATGAAATTTTACTGCTGTTTTATATACAACTCCACTTAAAGTATCTTGTCTTTGGTTTGCTTGAGAGGGAATGAAGAAATGTCGTACCCGTAGCTGCTCTGCGGCGTCATGGTTAGCGTAGATCCTCTGAGCCATGCCCCGGTTCTCCATGGCGATACGTTCCAGGAAGTCGTAGTCCACGTCGAAACCGATGCCCAGTGAGAAGAGAGAGAACTCCTCTCTCATCACTCGCTTCACGTTCTTCTGGATGGTGCTGAGCTTGATCTCTCCTGCAGAGAGAAATCCATGTTGGGGTCAGCTGTTTACGTTAAAAACAAAAGCTCTTAAACGGCATCTTAAAGGTTCAAGGCAGTTACATAAAGTAGTTCTTGTTTGTAGTAAATTAGATGAAACATGCAAAATCACTGGTACTGTACGTACGACCCTTTAAGTACAAGTCAGTCAGTCTTACCTACAGTGGGATCTCCATCTGACACCAGAATGATCATGGAGACGGAGCGAGGGTCAATTATCCCCTGATTGGACGCCTTCGCCAGCATCTGAACTGCTCTCATCAGTGCCTCATTGATGTTGGTGCCTGGGGTGAAAGGTCAGTAAAATATTACCAAGTACAACCTGTTTCACAAGCAATCAAAGTCTTCCGAACGTCATTCTTTTTTTTTTTTTTTTTAAAGAGTATTTTCCCATGATGCCTCACCTCCATTGGGTTTGATGGTCCGGATGTATCTCTTGGCGTCTGCGATCTGAATCGATGAGCCGGGGACCAGCTCCTCGCTCCAGCAGCGCACGTTGTGGTTGAAGTCGATGATGCTGAAGTGATCGTCTATAGTCAAGTCGTCCAAAATAGCCTGCATGGCCTCCACCGTCTGCGAGAGAGGTTTGGAGTTAAAGCGCATTCTGCAGAATCGCCACACGGTGGCAGCGGTTCACAAAGGAGAGCTGAGGACCAGGAGGACGGCTGGAAGGGTCAAAGTGCACATAACTGGGAGTGTAAACAACAAATCTCTTACTTGCTTCATCTTGACCCCCCACATGGACCCGCTGACATCAATGACGAACACAATGTTTTTGGGAAGCGGGGAGAAGTTGTTTGGAGCAAAGAACTGGACGAAGTGGCCGTCCGAGACCTGGAGGAGACAAGGGGGGGGGGGGAGCGTGAAGAGACGGTCATCTCCAAAACCTTCTCCAGCTGAACAACGAGGCTTCATACACAATCTTTGGGATGGTTAAACGTGTGATACCTGCAGCTCCCCGGAGTTGCTCTCCCTGTTCACATCATATCTGATGGTAAAGACGCCATCTATAGCACTGCCGGTGCAGTTCTCACACTTCCTC